AGTTCACCCGTACTCATTGTTGGCTCTCAACTAGGAAGTCTTTTATCCACATCAATAGATTGCCTCTAACCCCAACATTTCTTAGCTTATATAACAGCCGGTTGTGCGGAACCTTGTCAAAGGCTTTGCTGAAATCAATGTAGGCTACGTCTACAGGTAACTTTTGGTCCTTAAGAGCGCACCAGCTTTCATGAGCGACCAATAAGTTAGTGAGACAAGAATAACATATTCTGAAACCGTACTGCTTCTCCGTAAGGATCCAGTTTTCATCGAGGTACTTAAACAGCTCCTTCCGGATAATCTTTTTTTCAAGATTTTAACAACCACACTAGTCAGGCTAACCGGTCGGTAATTCTCAGGTTTATGTTTCGTACCTGTTTTGAAGACAAGACTTATTATGGGGTTTTTCCAGTCTCTGGTTAAACGATCCTGTGTTACGGATAGGTTAACGCATATACTTAAAGGGTTCGCAACGAAGTTAGATAATTCCTTTAGTAGCCTAGGATGTAATTCATCGGGCTCCGTGGATATACATATGTCAAGCTTATTTAGTGGACCAAAGACATCGAGTTCTTTAACGGTCACGCTATCCAGTGTATGTGTGGGGGATCTGCATGCGCTGATGGGAAGGGTGCTTCTATGGTATATACACTGCTAAAGTAGTTTGACAATACTTGAGCCTTACCAAAGTCGTCCTCCGCTAGTGATGTGGCAGCACTGTCTCCCCATAGTGCAGGGATATTCCCTCTTCTTTTTGTCCCTTGGTTTATGGAGGAATACGAGCGTTTTGGACATTCTATAAATTCATTAACAATTTTCTCTTTGTACAACTTTCTAGACTGACAGAGGGTGGAGGCACAGTTATTCCGAGCTTTTCAATAATGAGATTTTGTCTCATCAGTCCCCAGTAACTTAAATCTATCCTACATCTTTCTTCTCTTACAGAGGAGGATGCGAACCTCCCTACTGAACCATGATAGAGAGTTCCTCGGCCCCTTTGGTGTAATCCAAGGGATGTGGGGTGCGGTAACTTTCAAGTGTAAATTTCGAAATACATTCCAAGCCGTTTCAATTAAGGACTCTGGGTCTATTATTTAATCTACTGACGATGCTGAGTGCAGGATATCTTGTATGTTTGCTTTCCAGACGTTAGGTCCGGATTGAGCTGACTCGTGCTCGTGACTGACAGTTATATGGAAGTCGAAAATTAAAACTGCGTGATCGCTTTTACCTAGGGGTGGCATGTAACGGAGGTTCGCAACGCCATCCTCATAGTGAGTCAGTATAAGATCTTGTAAGGATAATTGAGAGTCCGGGTCGTACCTAGTCGCTTCCTTCACATGTTGCACTAGTGCACATGTGATAACCGCATCACCTAGTTCCTGCTCTAATAAATTATCTGACAATTCAGTTCGCAGATTTTCCCAGTCTACTATTGGTGCATTAAAGTGCCCTAGGATTAGACATCGACCACTATGTGACCAATTATTGAGACTGCTTAGCAGGACCTCATGTGCTCCATAGCTTGGACTACGATAGACCAAAGCAGTCAGCAGCTCTTGTCCCTTGCATTTCGAGCGGCAACTAACTAATTGACGCGTCCCACTCTCATGGGATACACTGTCTATAATGTCAAGTGGGATAGCATTCCTAATGAATAGAGCTACTCCCCCTCCTTTACGCTTTTGTATTCTGTCGGCCCTTACTGACTTAAAACCCTCGAAATCAAGTTCCATACTATCTATAGGTTGCGTCAGCCAAGTTTCTGTTACTGTGATTATGTCTGGATTTGTAGAGTCAATCTGCACATCTAGTTCCGATCGTTTATTGAACAAGCTTCCGGCATTAGTGTAACAGATCCGGAGCCTTTATTTCTCAATTTCTTTTTTCCTCATTTATCGTTAATATGCCTAGATTCCTACCTGGAGGTATTGATGATCTACTGCTACTAGACACGAAAGCACACTAAGCGAAAGCTTCTTCTATTCCGTCCATAAGCAATCAATTCGGAGGCTCATGTTAGTGGTACTTGTGAGGTAGCATGTTGTAAAATTAAATCTAGAGATGGATTAGTGAATATAGGGAAAATATACCGTAGTCCGTGTTGCCTTGCTGATGACTTTATCTTAACACACATCTGCTCTTGGAGTATGGCAGAATGTTGTCTCATCACTGGGGACTTCAATGCACTGTATATCAACCGGATAGAGCTTACAGCTCAATTTGGTGGCTTCAGTAGCGACCTTTTATCAACCTTTATTCAGTGAGCACTTGTACAATATAACGCAGAAAAGACACATATTGATTTCACACATGATCCGTCACTGCTGGACCTTGCCCTAACCCACCATTGAGAGGATGTCTTTGATATTCAGCATCTTCCCTCACTAGTGAACAGTGATCAGGTTGTACTTTACTTTAAGTTTAGGAAACATGGTATACGATTTGTATCTGCTCCACCCCATCCCAATATCTGACGAGCTACTACTCCGGCAATCAGAAACTGTGCTATCTCGACTGATTGATCGTTCGACACGGATGCCCAGATTGAGGACGACTGGAATAAGTTTAAGGCTACATTCGGGTCCGTAACGTTATCGTAAGCTATCACATTCCCCTCCATGGATTAATAAGGAAACCCGGAAGCTGTTAAAGCGTGGGAAACACGTCTGTGACTTATTCTTGTTGACAGGCCACGTATTATTTAATAGTGAGTACCGAAAATTCCGGAATATTTGTGAGAAAACCATAGCTAAACATGATACTACTTACGAAAGATAATTGGCATATGATAATCGTACTTGTCCGAAGCGACTGTTTTCGTATGTTAAATGGCGAATAAAACGCAGTGATAGTATTCCCCCGTTACTGTTACACGAAATTTCAGATTTGCCAGCTGAATCATACTAGGCGAAAGCTGAGAATTTTTCAGACTATTTTAGCGAAGTCTACTCTACGTTTATTGTAACAAATACTTGTCTCACTCACACCGAGATACTGTAGAATTATGGTCTACTATGATATTAGTACTGCTCTAATAATAGACCTAATCCCAAAATTGTAGATTCGTCATGATATAACTGCCTAATCTATAAGATCTTACGTGGAAGTCACACCATCGACTACACCAACTCACTGTATCGTATCAATTACCAATACATGATGAGGAACAAGGTTAGGCTAGAGAAAGAACAATATATTTAATATGAATAGAAGATATAAAGTAACACTGAGATGGACCACGCCTGCATGGACGAGCCATGCCACTCGATCAACTCCAGTCCATTCAATTCATTGTTAGGTATTCCCCGAGTTAAATATTGAATATCTATTTTCTGAGTAGTCTCGTGTTCAGCTTTGTGGATTGTGTGGCTATTGTCCAATGCCACTACACTACTCTCCCACCAGAATCAACGTGATGTTGGTTCGATACCAAATTGGATGGGATCGTCGCGCGCCGGAGGTTACCAAGGATAATAAGAATCCTCCGGGTATTGGTAAGCTGAAAGATAAATCAAAAAGAAAGCGGCAGCATCTGGTCGGGAAATACATGTAATAATTTTAAAATATCTGCCTTCATGCTTAAAACTCTTGAAATGAAAATTTGGGTGAAGATTATTTGAGCTATAAAAAATGGGGTTACAATAATAATAATAATAATAAAACGATGCGTGTTAATAGCCGTTGGTTAATAACTTAACTCATAGGTAGTATGTATTTTGGCGCCTTCTCCATTGTTAGGTATTCCCCGAGTTAAATATTGAATATCTATTTTCTGAGTAGTCTCGTGTTCAGCTTTGTGGATTGTGTGGCTATTGTCCAATGCCACTACAATACCAGCCATTGAATCTGTATAAGTGACTGAGGAAACTGTCCTTACATTGATAACTAACCTCAAACCTGGTAAGATACCGGGCCCTGATCGGTTACATCCACGGTTGCTGTCATCTCCCGAAGACATTATTTCCAAACCGCTCGCGACACTCTTCAACATGTCCTTTCACTCGCTCAACTCCCTAGAGATTGGAAAGACGCTATAGTCAGTCCTATATTTAAGGATGGTCAGAGACAGATCGTATCCAACTACCGGCCCGTCAGTCTAAACAGCATAGTCGTTAAGTTACTTGAAAAGATAATTCGGATTTAGTTGCTAAGTCACATAGATTCATACAACCTGTTAGCTCCTGAGCGACATGGGTTTCGTAACAAGCGTTCATGCTTGACTAACTTACTAATTGCGAGAGAGGGTTGAACAGCAGCCTTAGACAAAGGTCTGTCTGTCAATGTGATATTCATAGATTTTAGCAAAGCACTTGACAAGGTTTCACACTTAGGTCTTATGCAGAAGCTCTTGAGCTTCGGAATAATAGGTACTGTACAGGAGTGGATAGGAAACTTCTTATGTGACCGCAGACAAAGAGTGAGGGTCAACGGAACGATATCCGATTGAAAGCCGGTCAAAAGTGGTGTACCCAAAGGCACCATCTTAGGCCCTCTGCTCTCCCCACTCCAAGTTAATGAGTTACCGCTGTTGCTTAGGTCGTCGACATTATTGTTTGCGGATGACGTGAAAATCTGGAGAACAATAAAAGTGCGGCTGATTATCTGGATCTTCAAGCTGACTTAGACGATTTATTTAGATGGGCTCGAGAGTGGGACTTAGAAATCAACTCTAGGATGAGTGTGCTAATGCACATCGGTCACGGTAATGGTTACCAATATACCATTGATGGTAAACCTCTTCTATGCGTTAAAGAACACAAAGACTTAGGAGTAATAATAAGTCATGACTTGAAAACAACTACGCATTGCAACGCAGTTGCTCTCAAAGGTTTTCTTGCGTTATGGTCACTTCGTCGAGCATTCAAATACCTTGACGAGGAAATGTCTCGAGTGGTCAATCACTGAAACTCCCTACCCAAAAAATGGCATCAGCCACACCAGTAAGCGTTTTTAAGGAGAAGCTGCACCTTCACTGGAAGGCAAGCATTCAGGATTAACACAGGTTCACCAACCTACTATCTTTGTTACTGAAGACTGAACCCGCGTTAATGGACTACAAGGTCAATTCCGCGATAAAACATGCGTCTAAATGTTGTTGTTGCAGTTTCTGAAAACTGGGGTATCGGGAAGGGTGGAGGTTTGCCTTGGAAAATAAAGTAAGGTCCAGCATCGATAACATACTGAGTCGTTTAACATTCTGAAGTAAACATTTATAATTCGTAGACTTACTCAAATTTTTCGATTGAATAGTTTGCAGGGTTTAAAAAGGTAATGAAAACCTCAGACATTTCAGGTAGATTATGTCTTCCTTAACAGCTTGCTCTTAAAGGTTGGTTAAATAGCCATTCAATTCTGGATAAAATGCTACCTAAAATTTTATCACATATGTGATAGTCAAATATTTGACTACCACCTCCCTACAGATATCTACTTTTAGAAGACTGGTGAAGACAGATGTTTTAGTGATTCCTAAATCAGCAATGGTTACCTTTCATGTTTTTCTGGACTTGCTAATGGTTTGGGTTGTATATGTTTAGGTTCAGCGGATATATGCTGAACCTAAACATATTTTAAACATATATTATAAACAAATATTTTTCAGTCAACATGTATGTTGATCACATACATGTAATATTTGCGCCTCAATTATTAAAGCTGAAGACTCAAATTTCAGAACTCTTTATTAGTGTTGGTTTTTTGTGTGAAAAACATGCAATTAGGTGCAATTTGGGAGCCACGTATTTTAGGAACCGATTCATAATTCTGTTGTAAAAGATAAGAGTATTGTTCAAACTGACTTGACTATAGTGTCCCAATGTTTAGAAGTTAGGTACTGAGACCGTCAACCTTACGCGACAAGCAAGTCTTTTTATGAATACTTTTGTTGAAAATTTTGCTATCGATGTTTCAGCGGTTGAGTATTTTTATTAAAAAATTTCATTATGAATGTGAGCTCTGGCAGTGAGCAGTAGACTGCATCTCGCCTCACCAATACACTGCCAAGGAAAGTAAAGTTGTAGTAAATAGTTGGAATAGGAGAAATGTCTAATCATCAAATAAAGTGGACAAGCAGTATTATTATGTATTGATCTGTATAACTTAAATGAGAAAACAATCAAGAAAAATTTTTCCTGGTCGGGAAAAACACCTTTTACTCTAAGCTATGTTTGACAACCCGAAACCATAGAGTTTCTGGATGTTTGGCACATCACCAGCGGATTTTTAACAAGTCGAGTTGTTGATTTAACCGATACATATTTCATCCCACGCGACTGTAATAAAGTAGTCTTAGTGGTTTTATATACTTAGCCCTAGTATCTGAGAACAATATGCAATATAGGGGATCGTTAGGACGATATGTGTAGGCTAATCAAGACATCGAATTCAGTATTTGAATACAATAATACTCATAAGACGACCATTCTGCCTTACTGTAAAACATGTTCTCAAGTCCTACGACTACTTACTAAGAGTTTCCACCAAGTCTTAGCAGTCATTTGAAGGCAATAATAACCAAAACTAGGGCTTCTGAAATAATCGACGGAAATTTGATCGTTTTTTTCAGCACAAAACAATTTTACCGTCATATTATACACTTATCCTCTTACAACCAGACTAACGACGTGATAAAGCGAACCTGGTGCATATTAGGCGCTTTGGCGAGACTATAATTTGGTGGCGAACCAATCATGTCTAAGATAATGAGTCTCGGATTTCGGCGCGAAATTCACCCATCTACTTGGCTAAATAGAGTTTTAGCATTATAGCTGGTGTCAGTTCGTGATTAAAACCCTGAACGTAATTCCTAACTCTAACCATCAACTGTAAATCATAATTCTAATTCCTCACACTGTTTTATAACCCTCATTTGGTCCTAGTTATTAAGTGAAGACTCTCATGGTCAGTTTGGCGTCACTCAAAGGTCGTCCATAAATTATAGTCTCAGCACTTCTCATTTATTCTCAAAGCTTCATACGGGGCGGTTGTAAACAGACTACCAACATTATACGGATACTTCAGTGATTATGGTTAACGTAAAGTAGGTTTTTTCCAACAAAGTAACTAAACCAAGTGTTTTTGAGATGATTATTCTTCAAAACTAGTTCTCCAACGATTAGTGGCTTTATCAAGTAGTGGTTTTTTGGCTTTTTAAAGGGTATATCTTAGGTTCGAACTATGCATCATCTACTTAATTTTTAGCTCCAGAATAATATCAATAACCCTCGTGTAAGAGGTATGACTAAAAGTAAATCACACGAACCTGTTTATGATAAATAAGTTGCATTTTTATTATATCTTGTTCAAGAGCAGGCTGGAAGAGTGCTAGGGGCGGCCAAACCAAAACATAATATCAGTCTATAAAGTCACTGATAATTGAAATTAGCCATGTTAATAGGTACATATTACTTTTTTTGCGTTCGCGTGATTATCATAACCAATGGTTAGAAACTTCGAATAACATCGCTCAAAATCGTTTTCAATTGCGCAGGTGCATCTATTCTATCTTCATCCAAATCCTGATATTCTAATGTCCCTACGACTTTTTTTGCTTTTATTTCGCTACTTTATATTTTCTTTTCGAGTCATTTCTTCGATGCTTCATATTTCCTATCACCACTGATACTTTTACTACCTCTGCTATTCTGGGAATTAGCCTGACAACTTCATTTCTCTATGCTAATGGGGTATGGAAGCTTGAGCCGATGTACATACGTACAGGTTCTACATCGTTTGTGACTGGCTAATTATCCCTTCAATGTAGTTCATATATTATTCTGATCAATGAAATTAACGTCAGAATTTCCTAAAACTGTAATGTAAACAAGCAATCGGTCGAAAAGATGAACCAATTTATTGCTTAGTCGCTTTAATTCGTTTGCTTTCAGTGAGCTATTGTAGTCGTTATATAATCCGAATTTTACACCAAAGTACTAAGCTTGTTACTTGTTTTCAGGAAAGACATGGAATTTTTCAAATTAATAACAACTAAAGCTCATCCAGGTAAAGTGTTTAACCTAAAAATAAATCCAGGTCTCAAAAATGCGGTTGTTATGGGGAGATTTACATGGGAATCTATACCAGAGAGCTTCAAACCACTAAAGGATAGGATTAACATAGTGGTATCAAGCACGCTATCACAGTACTTCCTATTTATAACTTACCAAGCCTTTCAAGCGCACCACCACGTGTTCAAATTGTTCCCAATCTTAATGCGGCCATTGACTTGTTATATAATGAAGAATTTAGCTCCATAGTAGATGAGGTTTTTATCATTGGTGGGCATCGTCTTTACGAAGTGAGTTAAATTTTATGTCCTATTTTGTATCTCTGTAGGCTTCTGCACAATTATTCTAGACTAATTAACCATAGAACGTATGGACCTATTAAGTGTTTTCGTATTGTTTCTTAAGATTTATTAAAGTTTTCTCTTTTATTAGTTAGAAAAATGGTCAAATAATTGGAAGAACCAACTGCATTATTAACGATACATCAGTTTCCTATATCCCCCATTTATTAAATTCATCATTCCATATATATATATATATATATATATCTTTTCAGTGACTTTATTATCATTATTTGTTTATTTTCCCAACCGTTGTTGCTACCTTGACGTGGTGATCGAGCTTGCCTATCGTGATGAAGCAACCGAACTATACTGGCTGGAACAACCGTTCCTCAAGGTCCTACCATGCCAGACAGGTCGGTTGAAGAACGATAAGACTAAAAGCAACAAACCCAAGGTCCGAAGGTGAAGTCGTACTGCTGACTGTACAGAGGTGTGATAGCAGTAAGGTGTTTCCTTCAGACAACCAACATGGCAGCGATGCTGCCTTCCCACAAGGAGGAGTGGGGTTAGAAAAGGTCGACCCTAAAAATGTCACATCTCGCCTTATCCCACGGATATCCGTCTCCGGTGGTAAGGTATCAACAAGTACGGAGCTAACAAAAAAATTACCCATAAAAAGGTCGTGTGTGACCGACCTCAAACAGTCGTCTCTTGGGTACTGCGGTCACGCTCTCAGGTCACTAAGACCACCTCTAATCCAATTTCCTTTTCAGGTACCTCCAGAAGAACCCTTCCATGGTGTGGGCAACCGGGAAGTGATAACCGCCCTCATACCTCTAATAGCACCCAAGACCATTGTATTCATAATCAACCTCCCTCTTTAATTCCTATTATTCCTCCTACATCGACCTTCACCTCTAAACTTCCTTTTTCGGCTTCCCCCTCAAGTGTCACCACAGCCAACGATTCTAGTGCGCAAAACACTGTCTCATGTCGACTGAAACCTCGCTCCAAACTACACATTGGAGCCTTCAACGTAAACACCCTATGTCAAATCGGTCAACAGGCTTCCTTGGCTAGAACCCTAGAATCTCGTACCCTTGATGTATGCTGTGTCTCTGGGACACGCATACAGGATTCCAGTGTGGTCATTCACTTGACCTCACCTCGGCAAAACGGCGAGCCAACGAGATACACCCTCCGTGTATCTGGTGACCCGACGGCCAGCTCTCGCGGACTGGCAGGAGTAGGCATAACATTAAGCATGAGAGCGGAACAAGCACTGTTAGAGTGAATCCCCGTTAACAGTCGTTTATGTGCTGTTCGGCTGAACGGCTCCGTGAGAACTCGGAAGGATAGGGACACACGTCGTTGCCTTTTTGTCGTTTCTGCCTACGCTCCCACCGCCTGCAGCTCGGATGAAGTGAAAGATGAATTTTACAGAAAGCTATCTGAACTTCTTCAGAAAGCTAAACGTTCAGACATAGTACTCGTAGCAGGCGACTTTAATGCCCAGATAGATAGTTTAAACCAAACAGAAAGGCATTTAGGTGGGTGTTTTAGTATTCCGGCACAACGGACAGATAATGGTGATCGTCTGCTGCAACTGTGCTCAGACAGTCGTTTATTTTTAGTAAACACAAATTTTAAGCATAAGGAGAGACATCGTCTAGCATGGCGACCCCCTACACCAAACCAACGATGGACTCAAATAGACCATATTGCCATCAGTCATCGTTGGAGAGGGTCGGTAGAAGATTGTCGTTCATTCTGGAGTACCTACTTGGACTCCGACCACGCCCTAATACGGGCACGCCTCTGCTTGCGCCTCACTGGACGCAGGAAAGCCACAGTAAAAAGACCCATTATAACTGAATTGAGTAGCGAGAAAACCAAAAGTAGGTTCCAGAAACAGCTGAGGTCACACTTAGGTAGTTCTGAAAACGAGGCTGACCCAGATGTTGCTTGGACAGCTATACAAACAGCTGTGGGAACAGCAGTGACATCTATCAGTGATTTAAACCACAGATTGTAACCACAAAGAACCAATGGATTTCCTCTAGGTCTATTGCACTGATGGATTCTCGTAAACTCATCCCATCAGGCTCTGAACACGATGAAGAGCGAATACAAATCAGATCTAGGTGGTGGGCAACGAAAGCAAAAGAGATGGAAAAGGCGGCGGCTATAGGGAACACAAGACAGCTCTACAGACTAATAAATAAACTGGAATTAATAAGTCAAGTGTAAGTCGGACTATTTCGGAAAAAGACGACACTTTGATCTGCTCCCAGTCCAGACGTTTAGAACGATGGGCGGAACACTCCAGAGAACAGTTCAGCTGGCCTTCAGCTACTCTACAACTACCCTCCATTCCCAGACAGTGTGAATGAACATTGAAGTAGGTCCCCCAACTCTAGCAGGAGTTCAAAAGGCTATAGTTAATCTGAAACGAGGAAGGGCAGCTGGTCCAGATGGATTGGCTCCAGAGGTCTTTAAGGATGGTGGTCCAATTTTAGCGATTAGGTTGACTAATATTTTAGCTAAGATCTGGGAGTTAGACGTTATTCCATCTGACTGGTCACAATCACTTATCGTCCCAATATATAAGAGAGGGTTAAAATCATCCTGTGACAACCATAGAGGGATTAGTTTAACTAATATAGTATCTAAAATACTAGCCTCGATAATTATCGGACGCCTAACTAAGACTCGTGAACTGCAAACACGAGAGAATCAAGCTGGCTTCAGACGTGGTCGTGGCTGCATCGACCACATATTCACTATTCGTCAGGTTCTAGAAAATAGGCATACTTATCGGCGTCCGACAGTGGTGGTCTTTCTTGACTTAAAAGCAGCATTTGACTCGGTAGACCGCGAGATTCTGTGGCAGTGTCTGTCATTGAAAGGCGTACCCCAGAAGTACATAAACCTTGTAAAGGCTCTTTACTCAAACACTACCAGTGGAGTCAGAGCTTATGGCGAATTGTCATCTGTTTTTGCAACCTCGAGTGGTGTCCGTCAAGGCTGTCCACTTTCTCCATTTTTAAATAGCTCCATCATAGACATACTGATGGCAATAACATTCTGGTCGACTGAATTCTCGGGTATTGATCTCCTTCCAGGAGGTCCACTTATCATCTTAGAATACGCAGATGACATAGTCCTGTTTGGTGAAGACGCTGATAAAATGCAGATTCTTTTGGTAGCACTAAGCAACAATGCCAGAATGTTTGCGAAAAGCTCATTTGGCTTTTTCCAACTTACGTCACCTATGGCGATGGCGAGATATCTATCTATCAATAAAATACGAGTATACTGCACGGCAGTTCGTTCTGTTCTACTTTACGGCTGCGAAACATGGCCCTTAAGAGTAGAAGACACTCGTAAGCTACTAGTATTTGACCACAGATGTCTTACAAATATTGCTCGCATCTGCTGGGATCACCGGGTAAGTAATAGTGAGGTTAGACGCAGGGTATTAGGGAATGATGGTAAATCAGTTGATGAGGTTGCGAATCTTCATCGACTGAGATGGTTGGGTCACGTGCTGTATGCGCCTAAACACCGGTCACCACGACGTGCAATGCTGACCGGTGTTCGGAATGGTTGGAAGAAAGTTAGGGGCGGCCAAACCAAAACGTGGCATCAGTGCTTGAAGTCACTAACGTCTGTTCTGAGCCATGTTGGTAGATGCAGACTACTTGGTTGGGGTCCGCGTGACTATCGTAAGCAATGATTGCAAACTCCTGGTGACATGTCTCAGGATCGATCACAATGGCGTCGGTGTTTTCACTCTCTGTCTTCCCTTAAACTAAGAGATTAAAATCGCCTCATATCTTCCATTCTACGAACTAATTCTTTCTTCGTGTACTATTTCCTTATTGCAATCTTTCTTTTATATATTACCGTCACTGAATGAACTACTTTTATGAATCCGATGTCCATCTTGTTGTGTTAATGAGGTATGGAAACTTGAGCCGATGCATATATGTGCCTGGTCCTACGTTGTAGCTGACTGACTGATTCGTTTATTTTACCTTCATCTGTTCCTAAAACTGGTGTCAATGATCGATTTAAATATACTTATATAGGAGATAACAAGATATACAACGAATAACTAATAGTATTGATATAGTCTACCATGGTAAAATAATGAGTTAGAGAACGCGATCGGAAAAGGAATGAAATCGGAAAACGACCTAATGATTTCATCCATCGATTTCGAAGGTGTTCAAAAAACTGTTTCAGTTTTGATAAACATGCCTATCTGAGAGCGTTACCTTAGGAGTAAAAGAGTACCTTCTTGTGTCTATTTAGATACCATCTGGGTCGAAATTCCTCAGAGTTAATTTCGTTTATTTAACACCTAACGGGCGTTAGGCTGAGATTTGAGAAAAAAGGTTTGTCATTTGTACGGCCATATTTATGAACTTACACAAATCGGATGGTTGGTAGTCATTAGGGGTTTTGTATGTCATTGGACATTTAAATGAACCACAAAATTTTTTTCACGTTTAATCAAAGCAGTAACCATGAGCACTTTATGAAGTCTATTGTGTGCAACTGAGCTCGAATTATTTAAACTTAGGCTTTCGTTTTTACAAACAACCTATATTTTCTTAATTTAGGAAGCCTTGAAACAATCCATATACCCGGTTCGTATCTATTGTACGCACATACTAAATGAGGTGGACTGCGATACTTATTTCCCAAAACTGGATTGGAGTAAACTGAAAAAAGTTGAGTAAGTATTTAAACTCTCCAATACTCCTTGTGAGGGTCTTTATTTTATGGATAATTATAAATAAATGGATGAAACCACTGATTTATTTGTAGTTCAGTATTTTGTAGTCATCGTATTTGAAGTCCATCAACAGATCCACGAATTATTCAATCACAATTTTACTTCTATTTAAATCTCAACGAAACAAGTACAACATTTGAGTAGAATAATATGGTTCATCTATTTTGTGGATATCAGTTGTCTGAAAAGTGGATTTACACACTTTTGTTAGTTTTCCAAAAAGTATCGATTGAGATAGATAGCATGGAATGCGGGCTATTCCATGGCGACAGATGTGAAATCATTCTTAGCCGTCGTTCAAAATGTTAACTGTTTATAATTATCACCACTAAATTATCCAGCCCCTAAGGAGTTTTAGGGAATTGGTGAAATAAATGAGTTTATATGGCTCTATTCAAATGTTGTTCTTTCTATATATTCGTCTTTACTAAATACATCAGTCAGCCAGCTAATATTGGAAAAATTTCTTATTCTATGATAGGCCTTAAAATTGTAAAATTGATGTCATCATCCTCCGAAATGGACACAAAGCCTCGAGAAAAGTAAATCATGTTTGATTGAACTGTATTCCTATACTCGGTAACTCCTACCTTCAGTCAGCTAGTAGGCATATTGGTGCCGAAAATAAACCGTCGTTAAGTTGTTATGACCGCTCTAATTTCGACATTTGAATGTAGTTAAGAATATCAACCATCAAAATGGTAGAGGTTATCTCAGAAGTCAAAAACAGTAGTCTGCATGCCATATGTCTTTCCAAAATAGTCATATTAACCAGTTTAATTTCTTTTTGTTTAGTCTACCGGATATACCAGCGGGTACTTTCACAGAGAATGGATTTACATACAAATTCTGTGTTTACGACGTTCCATCCGAACAGCTTATGTAATTTATAAATTCATTAGTAGATATCATTTAATCAAATATTTATTCGTAAAATTTTTAATTTTAAATACAAATCGTTTTATACGTCCCGTTTATTTTCATCATACTTCCTGTAAACCAAGACAATTCAAAGATTTTGTTATATTAATCGATTTATCACCACGGTTCTCAGTTAGTCAAACAAACATAGGAGGTCAAATAATATTAAACAAATATCATTAAACTCTTTAGATATGGATTTCTACAAAATATCTCTGAATAGAAGCCAGTATCCTCAGGTCTTGCTTGTTACAATTTATTTGTCGTCCATGATTCATGGCGATAGTTCAATTGATTCACAATAATTAAGCGATTTCAATTACTTCCGATAGCTGCTGATTATTATTGTTGCGATCCTCGAGTCTTCTTTATACGTTTCTTAGTGGATCACTAGATAAGATGCGGATTATAATCCCCTACACGGAGTATACTTTCCTCATTTGTAGACCAACTTAAGCTTCAGTTGTGGCCATAATAATCTCAACTCCTATTGGTGCAGAACGCACGCCTTCTTTTAACCCAATATTTAATCCTAAATAAGCGAACACAGAAAGCGGGTAAGTTATTTTTATTCACTCAGTCATTGCGCCTCGAACATTCATGAGTTTATGCACATAAATTTTTAAACCGCAAATGAGAAATCGTAGTTTATGCACAAAAAAGCTCAGAGTGTTAAAGCAACGGGTCAAGTTGTAAATAATTAATTAACAGTAATGAAGAAATAGTAAAATGTTTAGCAATAATTATTGAGTCCAACAGAATCTTACAATATAGGGAATATAGAAACATACTCACCCAGTTATTTGCTAATCACGAAATAATCTTAACTAGAACCCCACTGAAAACCTTGAAGCATTGGAAGCCGTTTGATTATGAGACTCTTCTGCAGTGTGAACCCACACCCGAGAATCAGAGACGGGGCCTGTCTCACGCGCGAACACTTAGCCTTTAGACCATGGAGCCCTCTCTTATTTACACTAAATTGTGCATTCAGTTATACCTACAAATTTAATTGAAGAGAACTTCTTATATATATTAACTTCCAGATGTATTCTATGAGATTGAGAGGACGAAAAGGGAACGTCCGGCGCTTTAACCGGGTTGGTGGATACTGAGAGTCCACCCAGGGGAGCTAGAAAACCCTGACTCCAAACCAATGGTACACATGGGCTCCAGTATCCTGAAACAACTAATCGTTGGTCACCGGCTACCATGGGACTGCATCTCCTTACCTTGCTCCACTACTTTGTGGATCAGACCTTCAAGTCGAAGGCTCCGGGTGTGGCCCCCTAAGAAAACCACCTGCTTCGATTTGGGCACCCGGGTAGTATCACAGCCCCCACACATATCAAACGAGATCTGTGTGGCGCATTTGTATTTGGTGCCTCCTTGTAACATATCTGTTAAAATAAACAAAATAAAATGAATATTCTTAGTACTAAGAATATTCAAGCAACCTCAAGTCTTTCGTAACCATAAGTGGCATGTAAGGGACTTTACATAGTATTGAATACTACTATGTCCAATAAGACGAAGTGATCATATCATCCGATCAAAACACTACTATTAACACGACCTAAATTTCTTATTTACACTAAATTGTACATTCAGTTATACCTACAAATTTAAGTGAAGAGTACTTCTTATATATATTAACTTCCAAATGTATTCCATGAAATATCAAAATATTAAGGATCCACTTTTCTGAGTATTGGTTTTAAAAATTTTCCACTTAGCGGCATTGATAAACTGATTGGAACCTAAATGGTCGCTTTAGAGGCAGTAGAGATTATAATTTTGGTTCATCTTCCTACTGATTCAGTGAGCTTACTTACGCCTATTACTCCTAATGGAGCCTAGGCCGCCGACCAGCATTCTCCAATCCACTCTGTCCTGTGCCTTCTTTTCTAATTCCATCCAATTCTTGTTCATTTTTTTCATGTCTATTTCCATTTATCGGCGTAATGTGTTCTTTGGTCTTCCTCTTTTCCTTTAGCCTTGAGGATTCCATGTGAGGGCTTGTCTTGTGACGCAGTTGGGTGCTTTCCTCAATGTGTGTCCTATCCACTTCCAGCGCTTCTCCCTCCGCTGGGATCTGGTTTGTTCTCTCCCACAGTACGTTGTTGCTAATAGTGTCCGGCCAACGGATCCGAAGTATTTTGCGTAGACAACTGTTAATAAACACTTGTATATCCTGGATGATGGCTTTCGTAGTTCTCAAGGTTTCCGCCCCATACAGTAGAACTGTCTTGACATTCGTATTGAAAATCCTGACCTTGGTGTTGGTTGACAGGTGTCTTGAGTTCCAGATGTTCTTCAGTTGTAAATATGCTGCTCTTGCCTTACCGATCCGCCCATTCACATCCGCATCAGATCCACCATGTTCATCAATGATACTGCCCAAATATGTAGTGGTTTTTACATCTTCCAAATCTTCGTCAAGTGTGATTGGATTGGTGCATTCTGTGTTGTATCGGAGAATCTTGCTTTTCCCTTTGTGTATATTGAGACCTACTGCTGCTGAGGCTGCTGCCACACTGTTCGTCTTCTCCTGCATTTGTTGTTGCGTTTGGGATAGGAGGGCCAGATCATCTGCGAAGTCCAGATCGTCCAACTGCATCCTAGATGTCCATTGTATCCCGTGTTTCCCTTCAGATGTTGACGTCTTCATGATCCAGTCGATCACCAGGAGAAAGAGAAAGGGTGAGAGTAAGCCACCTTGCCTGACACCGGTCTCTATTTCGAACGACTTTGTCAACTGTCCTCCATGCACGATTTCGCAGTGTAATCCATCATATGAACTCTGTATGATATTGACTATCTTCTGAGGCACGCCGTAGTATCGAAGAAGCTTCCATAGTGTCGTTCTGTCCACGCTATCATATAATAAAAGTGTCATCAACATAATTTGCATAATACATCATTCTATCAACTACTCCTTTAAGCTTGGCCTTTTCAAGGTTAGCCATGAATATATATGCAAGGACAGGATCAAGTGAACTTTCTTTTACTACACCATAAGTTTAACGGGGTATAATGTTATCAAATCGATTTTAGTCGTTTCGTAGTATCAAACCGTAAATTCATCACCACTACGAATTCTATAGAATATATTAATCTTTATGGATACTACTGCGTAAGATATATCCCAAACATCATCCCATAATAGTTCACAAATAGACGCCGCGCTATTTTTACACTGTCTTAGTACAGAACGCGAATAATGTTTAACGAACAACGGTAATGGAACAAAGAAATTAACGTGATGAACCAGATTCGTATTTGAATAGGTAAATTTTTTGAGTAAAAAACCATGGAGTTCATTTTGTGATGATAAGATGAATTATGAAATTCGACCTCAAATTAGATTTAAAATACAGGATATACCTATAAAATGGAAGAGGTTATAGTATAGCTATATGAAGATTTCTTAAATAAGAAATGATTCAGGGACAAAACTACTGAATTTTAGGGGAATATATCATGATGTAACCTTATCTTAGGAAGGTTCGACAAGCTGTTAATAAACTGAAATATAAGATCCCGTTTGACTGGCATACATTTGCCACTATATTTGCGTAGCTTAGCTGTCTCATTCAAACATGTTGACATATTTGTTGTATGTGTTTATGCAACATTCACATCATTTTATTATTGCTCATTTAATTTGCACATTACGTGACCCTTGACTACCCAGTTGATCTGGTGGATAAATACATTGTTATTATTCACAACCTACGTTGTCTGGTTTTTACATACAATTTTAACTTCGTGATTTGATTTGAATGAAAATCCGAGATCAGTATACATCACCTAGTAGTCATTCCAACACAAAGAAAGCTAACAAACATGACAAATAATCCTAAATCTATATAATATATTTTAAATAATAAATTTCACAGATTGTAATCATGAGTCAATTGAAGCTAGACCACCATGGAAAACCTGGAAGCACTGGACGGCCGCTTCGTCCCAGTATGGGACTCCTCAGCAGTGCGCATCCATGATACCGCGCCCCGCGAGATTCGAACCCAGGATCTATCAGTCTCGCGCCAAGCACTTAGCGAACTAGATCACTGAGCCGGCATCCGATGGTGTTAATGTCTAGCTTCAACCAACCCACGAAGTTGCGCTACGGTATACTATTGTCTTCAGAGAACTGATATCTCACAACACACCTGGTTGAACTCCACGTGGTGCGCACTGCTTAGGAGTCCCATACTAGGACGAAGCGGCCGTCCAGTGCTTCCAGGTTTTCCATGGTGGTCTAGCTTCAATTGACTTACGATTTCAATCTGTGAAATTTCTAAAATCTCCACAAACCCCTTCTGATAGTTTAAATAATAAACTCGGTTATTATTTACTTGAGCACATGAACATTGGTGCGAGAGAGCACCATATATATATTCGCCACACAAAACAATGAGAATGGGAAGAGGAAAAGAATGTAAGGTGTGTATAAGAAAAAAAGAACAATAACGACTACAGATTAGTGTATGGTAGTGTAATATTAATAATAATAGTGGGGGAAACGCAAAGGTACAACCAGAAGGATTCTTTCAGTTAAGAAAGTTACAACCACTTTTTATGAAGAAAGTAAAAGAAGGTTACAGCAGGATCGCCTCTCCCTTCTATTCTGAGCCATATCTGATAACGTCCCTACCCATTGTGCTGCACTATCTCTCGGACCCCAGCCAGGGAGTCGAGAAGGACCAGCAGAAGCCAACCTTTTGCAGCTTTCTTTCATACGACGACACAATGTCATACACTGACCACCTCTCCGCCAAAAGGTGGCCCAGACTGGCATAAGCCGCTCTGACTTTCACTATACGTGCATTGATCTTATCACTCATGCCACCACCAACAATTATGCAGCTACCTAGATACACGAACTTCTCGACTACTCCTATCTGCTCACCAACCAGGGTGAGTACAGGATTAGGATCCTGCCAGTCTTGTAGAAGTACTTTGCACTTCGGAGGTTCAAAGCACATACCATACCTACGGACACTGATTGCCAACTGATTACGTGAGGATTGCATGGCTTGGGCATTATCGCACAGTAAGACAATATCATCCGCATACTCAAGGTCGAGAAGTCTTTCTCCAGACAACAGGTCCACACCGCCATCACTTACATCCATCAGGGCTGTTTCCAGGACGTCATCAACGGCAAAGTTGAAGAGGAATGGCGAGATTGGGCGACCCTGTCTAACCCCACTTCGTAAATGGAACAATGGAGAGAGGTGGTTGTATGCCCTCACTCTGCCTGAGGTGTTTGTATATAGGGCTTTTCGGATGTTAATAAACTTCTCAGGCACACTCTTCTTCAATAGACAATCCCAGAGAACGGTCCTCTCTAGCAAATTGAAGGCAACCCTGATGTCAAGAAACACTACGATTGTTGGCCTTTGATAAGTATGACGGTGTTCTAACATTTGGCGGAGGGTGAAGATATGATCAATACATCCTCGACCAGAACGAAAACCAGCCTGCAAAGTGGTTTCAGAAAAACTGCTTCAGTATTCGTATTTGGTGGTAGCATACAATTTTCAACCAGGCAGTGACTCGTGAACGTTTAGATAGAACCAAGTTTCCACCATAGGCGAACTGCTGTATAAGTCGAAAAATAAGGATACATAAAGCGGGAATAAAAGAGAGTGAATAAATGACGTAGTAAATAATAATAATGTGAACTGTTTGACTGTAAAGCGAAGCGTGAATAGTGTTTTCAGTAAATATCGTAATTTTCATATTATTTGTGTGTGGGCTGTGATGCTGCCCGGGTGCGCAGACCGGAGCAGGTGGTTTTCTTAGGGGGCCACACCCCGAGCCTTTGACCTAAAGGTCTGACTGATAATTCGGATGTGATGAAAATGTATTGGAATTCTCTTCATTTGTCATTATTTTGCGAGAATTCCTAAACAATAGATGACTACTACAAATACATTGCTTTTGATCAATCCATACTTTGTGTTATCTCTTCAATTTTTATTTAACACACAAACATTGGTAAAAGGATGTACACTACATAAATCACTCGGTTTTTGTGAGGGCTGGGATACTGCCAGGGCGTCCAAGTCGAAGTAGGTGGTTTTCTTAGAGGGCCACACCCGGAGCCTTCGACCTAAAGATATAAACTACAAGCTAGTGGAGCAACGTAAGGAGATGCAGTCTTATGGTGACTCGTGACCAACAATAGGTCCATACGCCATTTGTTTTCTTAGGATCCCGGAGCCCATGTGCACCAATAGTTTACAATCATGATTTTCTAACTCTCTTAGGTGAATCCTCCATACGCACTAGCCCGTTTAAAGCACCGGATATTCGCTGTTCGTCCTCTCAACTTCCTAAACAACACCCTGTTATAATCTCTTTCTTACGGTTATGACCCCAGCTATTCCTATTGCTTAGTATTCTTGGACACCAAATCACTCGACAAGACCCCAAATCAGAACACGGTTGAACAGGAAAGAGATTATATTCCAAATAACAAGGTTAGATGGAAGTAAGATGCAAGTAAGAAGCACAATAGGGAGAAACGTCAGGATATTTATAGTTTTTACATGAGAAGATTCTTGAGTATTCTCCAACTATCGACTGGTGCTGATTGGATAAGAATTAGCCAATCAGCGTGCACCAAAGCAATTGTGCATTGAGCATGCATTAATCCAGTCTATGTCCCGCTAACACACCCCAGCCGCGAGAAGGCAGTGAGTAGGACTTCCCTGGTAGTGGTTATATGCACGTGGCCACGTGAGAGCATTTCGAGAGAAAGAGCTGACTTTCCCCACTCTCGGCCGTACCGGAGCATTGGAGGGCTTTCAATCGCCACTCTACCTGTCTATTTATGTTATGAATGGTTAGTAATAATATTTTAAATTGTAGATCCACGAAGGTACATTATTCTGTTGAAATATCATTCCCGATTTATTCGAGTAAACGTTGTGGTAAATGTGCATGAAAGTTCGCAATGAAATATTAGTAGAACCCACGAAACAAACTGGTTCAGATTTGAATACTAGGATAAATAACAAGATTACTGCTTGCTACACAAGTTTTTTGGGTGATTGTGATTTATTACAGGATGAAACGATAAATGTTTTGTTCTTTGAGGCAAATAGTTCGGACAGAAAGAACCCATCAAGCTCAAGAAACATGTCACTTTAAATCCTCCTACTTAACAAAACATCGCTTCCATCATCTCAATAGAATATACCGTACATTCAGTGATGTGGATTAACATCGAATTCCAATAACATTTCCTGCGGTCTCCTAATCCCAACTACAAAAAATCCTGGTATATTTTCGATCATTTTTATTGGCCGTATCATAACTATAACATGCAAAACAAACGCTATGAAGGAAAATATTTACTTCGTACAATACGATTATGAGTAAAGACGATCAGAGTATCTGTTCATTACTGTAAGCTATAGATGACTAAAATTATCCAAAACATGTATAAATATTGGTGGATGAATGAATAATGAAGCAATTATCGATAGGGATCATTCTTCGCTTCATTTCTTTTTTCCCTGGTTCGCCACACGTGCTATAGCGGCTGCTACTGTCGCTTCATCGGCAAGATAATAGTGCTTGGTTGGCTTCAAGTTTGCATCCAGTTCATAAACTAGTGGAATACCTAGAAAAACGCAAAATACATTGAACGTTAGTGTACCAAACGATATTATTTAGCTTCATCACGAAATTGTGCAATTAGATTAACAAAACTTCGAGGGTTAGCCAGCTGTTATACATTACTCATATCATTAGCTAATCAACCTTTTCTTAATGAACTTAATTAGTCATGTCATGTTGAGGAAGCCGAGTAACTACTCAAGGTTTTATATTTCATCAACTAATTTTCCATGCTAATTGTATTTACTGTTCTCTTTATTTATGGTTTTGTCGAACAAGTTATTCAGTATTGGTTTGATATTTTAACGTACCATTTTGTGAACCAAGAACGGCAATATTTGCAGAATACAATGAATCGACCGTTTTTTTGTTTCGCCCCAGTTACATAAAAGCTAATAAGCTTAGTGATTTGAAATCTTACCATAACCGTAAAGTGCAAATTATGTTAAGAATTAAAGTTTTAGCAGAGATCATATAAATGATAGGAGAGACAGTTCTAAAATGTCTCAAATAATTTCATTACATAATATCACGAGAATACAGAAGGTTAAGAAAAAGACGTTTTGTGCAATTCTTCTCTCCTAAGTGACTACTCGTCTACAGGTTTCAAAATACAAATATGTTATGTGCACAAAAAATATGCCATTTGATATAAAGGTAACAATTAGTCTTAGTGTTTCACGAATTTAATAAAATTAGTTTATAACTAACGAATGCTGATTCTAATTTCCGAAAATCGTTTAATACTTTAGTAATCGAGTTTCCTGATACACTGTAATAAAAAACGAATTACCAGCCGTTTGGTTTACGAAGTCAATAAAAGAGTAACTTTTCTTAAAAAAGAGCACCCAGAATATTGTTATAAGTTATTTACACATTGAAACAAACAGGCAAATAGTGTCAAAAGATATTTCAAAATTTTCGGACAAACTCAAGTAAATCTTTAAAAAGAATGAAGATATTTTAAACTATCATGACAACACCAACTTCTCACAAGTATCATACGTAATATATCCTTGACGCTTAACAATCACAATACCAAATATGTTTAGAAATCGAGAAGATACAAGAAAGGATCAAATTCTTCGCAAAAACCATTCCATGGGATTACTAAGAAAATTATCAGTGATATATTTATTAATGTCAAGCTAGAAAAAACAACACTAAACTAACCAGTGGGTATATTAAGCTCCACAATATCTGAATCCGATGTATTATCCAAGTACTTGATAAGCGCTCGTAAACTGTTTCCATGGGCGACAATCAGAACCTGTTCGTGCCTCTAAATTTATAGAAGGAATGAACCACGACGTCAGTCAAATACAGCACAAAATAAGTAAGAAAATCGATAATATTAAAAAGTCCTCGTTTGTGTGTGTTATTGTTAATTGCCTAAAAACGTCTAATCGTCTAAACTAATCCAATTAGTAAAATAGGGCTTAGTCCAGTTATATAATAGAAGCTTTATCAGGTGAAAACATTGATGATATCCGCTTTTTTTATATTTTAAATTAATCTGATCCGTTTAATATTTAAATTCTGTTACTAGGCGAATGGGCGGGATGGATTTCCGAAACCTCCAGGAAGAGGTCCTTATCACACGAGCAAGTTTGACAAAGCAAGAACAGCAAGCCAGGTTTATCAATGGGGAAAATTGTGCAAGTCAAAGTGATCGAAAATAAAACTAGTTTCAGAGCTAGTTTATGATTAGTTTTTATTAGTGAAGACTGACTGTAATGCGTCAAGATGTTACATTAGTAGATTATCAGTTGTAGTAGAAACAAGATACAACTCAGCAGTAATGACTGACTATTGACTAATCAACATGAAAAAAGCTCTCAAAGAAAGGATAAAATGTTGATCAAACTCCTTTTATGTAGACTTTTAAGTGTTTTGGAATTTTTTAGATCAAAATTGATTACTTTTATTGGACTGACGAACTGGATTCAAGTTTATTTTGATGAGTAAACTGGTCTCGAATAATGTTAACCTATCTGCTAACTTGATACTACACAATCAATGTAGGTTAGGCTATCAAAAAGACCATATAAGGAGTGTTTTAGTCACAGAATGAACACTTTATATTTGAGTGACAAGTAATGCTTAAATACATTTCCACTGGCGGGCACAGCTACTTTAATTTTTAGATAATACCATTTTACAATATAGCCTTACAGTTTTTAGAATTCTACATTTCGAAAGGTAATCGCTAGATTCTATAATATGAAAACATACAAATTACAATATCACCGCTACCTAATATTACCATTACATTCGAAATAACCTACTTTCACTATAGTTATCCTGAATTGTTTATCAAAATGTAAGTACTCTTATTTACATTGTATCATACTTAATCGATACCTTTGAAATACAGATGAATTTATAGTCGATTAAAGTGATTGTTAAATGTTTGACGAAATAAAGAGTCTCCAGTTTCTAAATAGAATGATAATATATCAGAAAATGTAAAACTGATGAAACAAAAATTGTGTTTGAAATGAAAAAATGTAATGTTTATACCTTGATGCTTGCAGAAATAGTATCAAACCAAAATGGCAGTACACGTTGAACAGTGTCCTTCAAACACTCAGTACGTGGTATGCAGGAAGAGTCAAGTAACTGAAAACGAAATCAATCATTAAGATAATATCAAGCTTGCGTCATGTAAGTATGCAGTAAAGTAACTGAATATCACAAGCAGAAACAGGTAACAAAAGAGCTGTAACTAGTGTAAAAACGTTTGAGAAATCTGGAATCCTGTTTACGACTGTAAACACTTACGTTCTCTCTCAACTATGATCACAATGAATGAAGTATACAAATACTGGTTATTTCCAAACATATAATTGTAGTGTAATACAATTATCAATAAAAACAGTTCGTGATACAGTAGAGGTTTATGTGCTAGGCTTTAAATTACGCTTATATGGAGGCTGGATATTAGCATGTTGAAGCTCCGAAGCCCGGATCTCCAAATAAATAGATGAAATCACTATAATTTAAATCATGGAACTTTGTAATGTAGATTTATAAAGAAAAGTATCATATAAACAAAAACAAGTGTTGCGAGTCCGGGTGTTATATTTCTCTCTTACGGTTATAACCCAGCTATTCCTACTGCTTAGTATTCTTGGACACCAAATCACTCGACAAGTCCCCAAATCAGAACACGGTTGAACAGGAAAGAGATCATATTCCAAATAATAAGGTTAGATGGAAACAAGAAGCACAATAGGGAAAAAGTTAGTATATTTATAGTTTTTCACATGAGAAGGTTTCTGGAGTGTTCACTAAGTATTGACTAACGCTGATTGGATAACAATTAGCCAATCAGTGTGCGCCAACGCAAGCGTGCATTGAGCGATCTAATCCTATCTATGTACCGTTAACACAGGGGATAGAGAATAATATGCTGATACAAATACAAATGCTAAAGCAAGCAATTGAAATGCGAAAATCCTAAGAATTTCTACTTACAGGTTGAAATCATGAGTCAGTTGAAGCTAGACCACCATTGAAAACCTGGAAGCACTGGACGGCCGTTTCGTCCTAATATGGGACTCCTCAGCAGTGCGCATCCACGATCCCGCACCACGCGGGGCTCGAACCCAGGACCTACTGGCTTCGCGCGCGAGCACTTAACCACTAGACCACTGAGCCGGCATCCAACGGTGTTAATGTCTAACTTCAACCAATCCACGAAGTTGCGCCACCGTACACCATTGTCTACAGTGAGTTGTTATCTCACAACAGACCGGTTGAACTCCACTGGTAACGGCTTCTCACTAGAACTTCAGGATTCCTGAGGAGTCCCATATTAGGACGAAACGGCCGTCCAGTGCTTCCAGGTTTTCAATGGTGGTCTAGCTTCAACTGACTCATGATTTCAAACTGTGAAAATTCTAAAATTCTCCACAAAACCCATTCTGATGATAATAATAATCAACTGCTCACTAGTGACTGACTTCAGGAAAAACTCCTGAAGTTCTAGTGAGAAGCCGTTACCAGTGGAGTTCAACCGGTCTGTTGTGAGATAACAACTCACTGAAGACAATGGTGTACGGTGGCGCAACTTCGTGGATTGGTTGAAGTTAGACATTAACACCGTTGGATGCCGGCTCAGTGGTCTAGTGGTTAAGTGCTCGCGCGCGAAGCCAGTAGGTCCTGGGTTCGAGCCCCGCGTGGTGCGGGATCGTGGATGCGCACTGCTGAGGAGTCCCATATTAGGACGAAACGGCCGTCCAGTGCTTCCAGGTTTTCAATGGTGGTCTAGCTTCAACTGACTCATGATTTCAACCTGTGAAAATTCTAAAATTCTCCACAAAACCCATTCTGATGATAATAATAATCAACTGCTCACTAGTGACTGACTTCAGGAAAAACTCCTGAAGTTCTAGTGAGAAGCCGTTACCAGTGGAGTTCAACCGGTCTGTTGTGAGATAACAACTCACTGAAGACAATGGTGTACGGTGGCGCAACTTCGTGGATTGGTTGAAGTTAGACATTAACACCGTTGGATGCCGGCTCAGTGGTCTAGTGGTTAAGTGCTCGCGCGCGAAGCCAGTAGGTCCTGGGTTCGAGCCCCGCGTGGTGCGGGATCGTGGATGCGCACTGCTGAGGAGTCCCATATTAGGACGAAACGGCCGTCCAGTGCTTCCAGGTTTTCAATGGTGGTCTAGCTTCAACTGACTCATGATTTCAACCTGTGAAATTTCTAAAATTCTCCACAAAACCCATTCTGATAATAATAATCAACTGCTCACTAGTGACTGACTTCAGGAAAAACTCCTGAAGTTCTAGTGAGAAGCCGTTACCAGTGGAGTTCAACCGGTCTGTTGTGAGATAACAACTCACTGAAGACAATGGTGTACGGTGGCGCAACTTCGTGGATTGGTTGAAGTTAGACATTAACACCGTTGGATGCCGGCTCAGTGGTCTAGTGGTTAAGTGCTCGCGCGCGAAGCCAGTAGGTCCTGGGTTCGAGCCCCGCGTGGTGCGGGATCGTGGATGCGCACTGCTGAGGAGTCCCATATTAGGACGAAACGGCCGTCCAGTGCTTCCAGGTTTTCAATGGTGGTCTAGCTTCAACTGACTCATGATTTCAACCTGTGAAATTTCTAAAATTCTCCACAAAACCCATTCTGATAATTTCTACTTACTAAAAAAGTCCGTCACTTTTTTTAGTACAGTAAGTTAAAACTGATATAACATTATTAGGGATTTTGATGAGTGGCTGATAAAATCTCGAGTTACAGAATTAGATAATTTATACAACTACAGATTTCATGGTTTGCAAACAGAAACAAAACGAAAATACTGCCTTTAATTTGAACGGCTTTATTTAATGAATGCCTCATTGCCTTTCACATAGTTTCAAGACCCAAAAAACCGTGATTGATAAAATAATGCCGAAAAATCAAAAGTAGGATATATGCTGGAGCAAAGTACAACACACCGATGAATTCTTATTACTTAACTCTGGCGTAATTAGTTTACAAAAGATACATTAATGACTATCGACTAACACTTCTGCGTTGTTTGCCAGATCTTTTTATCGTAGTAACAACCCAACTGAGTTTAGTGGATATTACACAGACATAAGAACGATAAAGATGGGTGAATATTAGTGAGAACGTTAACAATTTATAACTGAAAGTTACAAAACAGGATCATAAAAATAAGCAAAGTGGGCATTAACATAGATGATTATACCAGGGAAGTTTGTCTACCCAATTGGCTTAGCTCCACAGTCAGTGACTTTATGGGCTGTGAGGGCTAGGATACTGCCATGGCGTCCAAGTCGAAGTAGGTGGTTTTCTTAGAGGGCCACACCCGGAGCCTTCGACCTAAAGATATAAACTACAAGCTAGTGGAGCAACGTAAGGAGATGCAGTCTTATGGTGACTCGTGACCAACAATAGGTCCATACGCCATTTGTTTTCTTAGGATCCCGGAGCCCATGTGCACCAATAGTTTACAATCATGATTTTCTAACTCTCTTAGGTGAATCCTCCATACGCACTAGCCCGTTTAAAGCACCGGATATTCGCTGTTCGTCCTCTCAACTTCCTAAACAACACCCTGTTATAATCTCTTTCTTACGGTTATGACCCCAGCTATTCCTATTGCTTAGTATTCTTGGACACCAAATCACTCGACAAGACCCCAAATCAGAACACGGTTGAACAGGAAAGAGATTATATTCCAAATAACAAGGTTAGATGGAAGTAAGATGCAAGTAAGAAGCACAATAGGGAGAAACGTCAGCATATTTATAGTTTTTACATGAGAAGATTCTTGAGTATTCTCCAACTATCGACTGGTGCTGATTGGATAAGAATTAGCCAATCAGCGTGCACCAAAGCAATTGTGCATTGAGCATGCATTAATCCAGTCTATGTCCCGCTAACACACCCCAGCCGCGAGAAGGCAGTGAGTAGGACTTCCCTGGTAGTGGTTATATGCACGTGGCCACTTGAGAGCATTTCGAGGGGAGTTGATTTTCCCCACTCTCGACCGCACCGGGGCATTTAGGGGTCCTACACCAGTAATTATTGCGCGTTGATGTAGCCGATGGATGGGGATACATAATACATATCTTAACCATCTCAGCCAATGGTTATTTATTTATTTGAACACATAAACATTAGTACAAGGGGGCACCAAATACATAGGCGCCACACAATAGCGATGAGACCAATAGTAGTTATTATTGATTTGTGTGAGGGCTGTGATACTGTTTCATCAATCGACTTACCATCCTTACCTATTAATCTGTCTAACTATTGCGTTGCTAGGACAATGATTTCATAATATATGAGTAATGGTTGGAAGATACCTATAATACTAGTAATTTACGAATAGTCGCTATTTTTAAAGAATGTTTCGCAGCCATAAAGAAGAACAGAGCCAACTGATGACCAATATAATTACTGGTGTGTGAAACCTTGTGACTTCTGACAGTAAAAATAATCCGGGATTTTATAGGGAAACTCATATACTCCAAATTATTACTTTTAGCTTGTACTTGTTGATTTTTCATCTACAAATAAAGCGTGTGGATTTGTCGCTAAAAATCTAACAGTGTCATTTACAGATAATTATTCATGTCGGAACTGCTTCGAAAAGCACGACAAATCCTCTAGGGGCTCTACAGGAGCCAGAAATTCCATCCAATCAGAACCTGATAGAAACTTTTAGAATACTACGGGGCATGCTAAGATTGGACAATAGCATGACTTGCTTTTTGCGGATCGGCCGAATTGTAATGATGTTATAGCCAATACTAATAACTACAAATACCCACGTTTTTCTGTAAATTTTTGATTCTTACCCAACAATCCTTGCTTCTTCCGTCTTTTGATTCGAGACTACGGGGTTCTACACGTTCGAGTGCCGTTAGTCGCATATCGTATTCTGCCGTAATCAAGTACAGGACACAACAATTCACCAACGATTTACGAGTTTATCTAATCTAGTAGATGTATGTTTATTTTAAATACGAATGCTAACGCTCCGGAATACTTTTAAGGTGAAAGCAGGAAGCATTCTTTTCGCCGCACGTACAGAAACAGATAACATGAGAATACATGTACTACATGAAAAGACCAAGAAGTTCAGTGAATTTGGTTTCAAGACGTAATGGTAAATCACAGTCGTTTTTTACCAGGTGGCACTTTGCAAAAGCAGTATAGCATGAATGAGAGAGACTATAATTTATGAACGAACCAATCAGATTTATGATAACAGGTCTTGAATTTTGGCCCGAAATTCAATCATTCATTTGGCTAAATAAAGTTTTGGCATTATAGATGTCAGTTCGTGATGAAAACCATATATCTTATTCCTAACCCTAACTACCAACTGTAAATATTAGTCCTAATCCCTTACACTGGTTTATAACATTTATTTAGCCGTAGTATGTAGGTGGATATTCTCATGGTCTCTTTAGCATCGCTCAAAGATCGTCCATAAATTATATTCACACCGATGTGTGTGCTTAGAAAGTCTAAACAAGGGTTCTTAATGTTTGTGTATGCGATTGGGTTTTGTTGAGTTAAAGTATGTGACTGAAAAGTATAGAAAATATTCCTAGTTCATCAGTCAAGCGATCGCCAGTAAAATTGAATTCTTAAACGCCAAACTTCGTTCATTACGCACATATATTAAGTATGTTATGATCGTACAAACTGCAGTTAATATTTATAAAATCCTAATATTACTGTTGAGTCCAGTATATATATTCCCAGAAAAGAGACCAACCGTAAGGACTTTTCTGATCGAACTTCCAATAGATAAATCTAATGTCTATGCTACATCAAAGGTTTAAAACTGGTAACTAGGTTTTAATATTGTATTGAAATTGTTGGAATATTTAGGACTTTTGAGATTAATGTGTGAACAGAATCTGGACTGTACGGTCTACAATATGTTCGTAGTTAAATGAGGTCATTTCTGAGCCTCTGTTATCTAATGACCGGATTGAAAAAACAAATACTACATAAACAGATCCTTATGAATCAATATAAAACCAGACATGATTTTTATAACCAGGTGTAGCGACTGCACCCGTTTCAACCAGCAATGTGACCTGGTGAAGAAGTATACCAGGGTGAATAAGTATATTTCATTTTAGGGGATAAAGAGTATGTGAAAAATTGAACAGGTTGACGAATTATAGAATAAACGAGTTTAAAACTCAGCCCTGTATAATGTAGGACCTGGTACATACGTTAATCGGTATAAGGAGTATGATAAGTTCAGTCCATAATGTTTTTTAAAAATATCTTTAAGAGAAATGAAAATACTTACGGCATACTTTGGCTCATTACCGGGGAAGCGAGGATCTGAAGTATCAACAGGAGGGGGAGGTATATCATAAGCACGTCTCCATATTTTAACTTGTTCTTCTCCATGTTTGGCAGCGGTTTCAGACTTATTTAGACCTTGAAGAGCACCGTACATCCTTTCATTTAGACGCCATGTTCTGTGGTAAATAGAAAACATATGAATTTTAAAAGTCAGTATTTTAGAATAAAACTTGTCAAGTGTACTTTTGTTTAATCTAGAGGTTCGCTTACATGAAATTAAAACCAGAAAATTTGGGTTCGATGAAATAGTGGGTAAAAATGAACAAGGAAACCGGAACAACTTCCGCGATAAGATGGGACAAAAAGGTAACACTATTTTAGGTCACTATCTCTTGTTAATTGATTCTGTGTATTCATCTATGTGGATTACATTCAGTGTTTCTGCAGCAACAATGTATTTGCCCCCATGTAAGAACATTATGTATATGTAAATACTAGTATATAAACGTGCATTCCAAGCTACTGGTGCACATGGGCTCCAGAACCCTAAGAAAACAAAAGGCGTATGAACCTATTGTTGGTCACGAGTTACCATAAAACTTCATCTCCTTACGTTGCTCCACTGGTTAGTACGTTAGAACTTCAGGTCAAAGGCTCAAGGAGTGTTCTCTTCAGAAAACTATCTGCTTCAGTTTGGACACCTGGGTACTCCAGCCCCCATAAATTCGAATGACAAGATGTGGAGCATATATATTTGGTGCCTCCATGTACCAACGTTTGTGTTTGGATAAATACGCAGTAAGCCCCCGAATGCCCTGGTATGGCCGAGAGTGGGGAGAGTCCGCTCTCCCTCTCGAAATACTCTCACACGGCCACGCGTATATAGCCTCTGTCACGGAAGTCCTACTCATTGCCTTCTCGTGGCGGGGGTGTTGTTTACGAAAATGAGAGGACGAAAAGCGAATGTCCGGCGCTTTAACCGGATCCCAAACCAATGGTGCACATGGGCTCCAGTATCCTGCGGGAACAAATGGCGTATGAACCAATCGTTGGTCACCGGCTACCATGGGATTGCATCTCCTTACGATGCTCCACTGCCTTGTGGGTTAGACCTTTAGGTCAAAGGCTCGGGGTGTGGCCCCCTAAGATAACCACCTGCTTCGGTTTGGGCACCCGGGCAGTATCACAGCCCACACACAGAGTGTGGCGCATATATATTGGCGCTCTCTTGTGCCAATATTCATGTGTTCAAATAAATAAATAAATACACAGTAGGACTAGAGATACACCAGCAGTGATACGGACAAAACACTCGTTGAGTGAAAATTGACAAGCGAATTAGGGAGGATGATAACGAAGACTAGATTGTAAGTTTGAACAGTATGTTGTTAGCTAATCGAGATTTTCGAGAATTAGGTAGAGGAATAATCAGAGGTTATTTGTTACATAGGTGTGCTCTTACAAGGTCTATAACAAACACCATAGGATGAACTTTTGCAGGTTATAAGAAAGTGCGATCCTAACAAGTTGTTTATTTGACGGGCAACTACCAATATCTTGTAAATACATGTGAAGGTATTTGCAATCTAACGAGAACTGTATATATTTGAAAGCAAAACTCAATAAATTTTGCAAACTGACATATCTTCATCTACCAACCCAATAGTTTTTTGAATAATCGAACTGCTACTTTTACTTAGTATTCTACGTCGAACTCTAGAATTATTCTCTCGTTTCTTTCGCTACATTTGACAAGACAAAACAAAACTCATGACCAAGAAATAGAAGTTTTATTACTGCTAGTGAATATAAATTGAAGTTACTTGGCTCTGAAACAATGGGAGACTACTAAATTACATTAATTTGGATTGTAGGATCTATTTGATTTGGAGGCTTAATTACCTTAATTGTGAACTAAATGTTGCTATCTTTTTAACTCCCCTATTTTGATCTAAAAGCAGTTTTGGGAGAGACAAGGAGACGTACTATATTCCGCAAACCCTACCAAATATTTTTCTTGTCATGCCGAAATGGGGGGATATAACGCTTACTTTGGAAGGAACAGAACATGGATAAGTGGGTTAAGTAGGTCTATAATTTCTGGACGCTACTCTTTGCTGGTTTCCAGCGGATCTTAACTATGAAATGTGCAACTATTTCAGATATATTTCCCGCGACTGTCAACAGGATCACTGACAGTATCATAAACTCGTAATGAAAATTTTGAAGAGGGAAGAAAATCAAAGTCACATGAAACACTCGAGTGACACAACATAAAAAATAAAAAACCAGAATAACGCACTTCATCACAGGTATCCAGTTAAGATCAAGTTCATCAAGGACAAGGTTTAAAGTCTTGATGGCTCTTTTTAGAACACTTGTATAGGCGATGTCAAAGGTGAAATGATTTTGGTGAAGAAGTTGGCCAGCTTGCTTAGCTTCAGTGATACCTTGTCCTGAAAGGTCTGCATCGTGCCAACCACAAAATCGATTTTCTTCATTGTAAACACTCTCTCCGTGGCGGATAAACACGATCCTGTAAGGAGCCATGCCGCGATAAACCTGAAAAGTTTCAAACAATACATTGGTATCCATGCCTCTTCTTGACTAACAGGAAATAACAGACCTGACAATCGAAAATCAGGCCGCAAACTGAAAGCCTGCTTTCAACTAGTTGGAGACAGCTTTCAGGCTATAGTGAGTGTTTGAATTCATATAAATGCTCAAAAACATCCTAGCCCTGTGTAAATTTAGGGGGAAACCCCTAATTATATGCAGATTTGAGTCTCATTTCGTGGTATTATCCCAAAATTCACCCACAATTGTCAATGAGACTGTCCCAAAACTGATCAATTTTGTCCAAACGTAGGTAGCTTGAGCGGCGCCCAAGTTTGTTTGTCACAGACTATAACTGTACTTCAATACTTACCACTCTGGTAATGTCGGAATAACCACGAAATATCCCTACTCCCCGCAGACTAATAATACCGAAGTTGAAAAGTCTATTCCATTTCATGTCAAATGGAATATTAACGACCCAAATATCCCACTTTAAATCTCAAACGGGGCCTTACGGTACCCCTTAGTGAATGGAGGATGCAAAAGGACGACTTAGTTTACTACAACCGAATTAAATCCAGCAGACTCAACGCACCTAACAAACCGAAGACTAAATCACGTACACCAACCAATAATCCTCAAAACCCACTGCTTGTCGGTACAAGTTGTTTGATTAGTCTAAACAAAATCGCATCATTTATCACATGTATTTGTGACTAGTCGTTACAAAAGTTTAAACCTTTTTATATAACACTTTAACCCTATAAAACTACCAATGAAGCTACCTGCATGACATGCAACCTTGCTTAATCATCACACACTGCAGAATTGGACAACACTGGATATGAAGAAATCATGGGACGACACGGACTGGGAGAAAGAAACGAAAATGGTGAGAGATTTGCAAACCTATGTGCCTTCAATAAACTGGTCATAGGCGGCACCATATTCCCACATAAACGCATACACAAAACCACATGGACTTCACCGGATCACACCACGCAAATCCAAATTGACCATATTTGCATCAACAAAGCGTTCAGAAGGACTATAGAGGACGTGAAAACCAAGAGAGGAGCTGATATAGCATCAGATCATCACTTGCTGGTCGCCAAGATGAAATTGAAACTCAAGAAGCACTGGACAATGGGGCGGACAATATCACAAAAGTTCAATACGGCCTTTCTTCAGGATACTAACAAACTCAACAAATTCAAGATAGTCCTCAGCAACAAGTTCCAGGCCTTTCATGATCTACTCAATGGAGAAGGAACTACTGTGGAGAGCAACTGGAAGGGGATCAAAGAGGTAATCACTTCAACATGTCATGAGGTCCTGGGTCACAAGAAGCACCATCACAAGGAATGGATCACTGTTGATACACTGGATACGATTCAAGAAAGAAGGAACAAGAAGGCAGCAATCAATACCAATCGAACAAGAGCAGAAAAAGCCAAGGCACAAGCCGAATACACAGAAGTAAACAAACAAGTGAAGAGGAGCATCAGAACCGACAAACGTAAATATGTGGAAGACCTGGCAATGACGGCGGAAAAGGCTGCAAGAGAAGGAAACATGAGACAATTGTATGACACAACAAAGAAACTCTCTGGAAATCACCGAAAACCAGAACGACCAGTGAAAAGCAAGGAAGGCGAGGTAATCACCAACATTGAACAGCAACGAAGCAGGTGGGTAGAACACTTCAAAGAACTCTTGAATCGACCAGCCCCACTGAACCCACCCAACATCGAAGCAGCACCCACGGACCTCCCAATCGATGTTGGCCCACCAACAATTGAAGAAATCAGCATGGCCATCAGACAACATTCCAGCAGAGGCATTAAAAGCAGACGTAGCGGCAACTGCAAGGATACTCCACACTCTCTTCAATAAGATTTGGGATGAGGAACAAGTACCAAAAGACTGAAAAGAAGGACTTCTGATCAAAATACCGAAGAAAGGCGATCTCAGCAAGTGTGATAACTACAGGGGCATCACTCTTCTCTCAATACCAGGGAAAGCCTTCAACAAGGTATTATTAAACAGGATGAAGGACTGCGTAGACGCCCAACTTCGTGACCAACAGGCAGGATTCCGTAAGGATAGATCGTGTACAGACCAAATCGCAACTCTACGGATCATTGTGGAACAATCAATTGAATGGAATTCATCACTCTACATCAACTTCATTGACTACGAAAAGGCATTTGATAGCGTGGACAGAACAACACTATGGAAGCTTCTTCGATACTACGGCGTGCCTCAGAAGATAGTCAATATCATACAGAGTTCATATGATGGATTACACTGCGAAATCGTGCATGGAGGACAGTTGACAAAGTCGTTCGAAATAGAGACCGGTGTCAGGCAAGGTGGCTTACTCTCACCCTTTCTCTTTCTCCTGGTGATCGACTGGATCATGAAGACGTCAACATCTGAAGGGAAACACGGGATACAATGGACATCTAGGATGCAGTTGGACGATCTGGACTTCGCAGATGATCTGGCCCTCCTATCCCAAACGCAACAACAAATGCAGGAGAAGACGAACAGTGTGGCAGCAGCCTCAGCAGCAGTAGGTCTCAATATACACAAAGGGAAAAGCAAGATTCTCCGATACAACACAGAATGCACCAATCCAATCACACTTGACGAAGATTTGGAAGATGTAAAAACCACTACATATTTGGGCAGTATCATTGATGAACATGGTGGATCTGATGCGGATGTGAATGGGCGGATCGGTAAGGCAAGAGCAGCATATTTACAACTGAAGAACATCTGGAACTCAAGACACCTGTCAACCAACACCAAGGTCAGGATTTTCAATACGAATGTCAAGACAGTTCTACTGTATGGGGCGGAAACCTTGAGAACTACGAAAGCCATCATCCAGGATATACAAGTGTTTATTAACAGTTGTCTACGCAAAATACTTCGGATCCGTTGGCCGGACACTATTAGCAACAACGTACTGTGGGAGAGAACAAACCAGATCCCAGCGGAGGGAGAAGCGCTGGAAATGGATAGGACACACATTGAGGAAAGCACCCAACTGCGTCACAAGACAAGCCCTCACATGGAATCCTCAAGGCTAAAGGAAAAGAGGAAGACCAAAGAACACATTACGCCGATAAATGGAAATAGACATGAAAAAAATGAACAAGAATTGGATGGAATTAGAAAAGAAGGCACAGGACAGAGTGGATTGGAGAATGCTGGTCGGCGGCCTATGCTCCATTGGGAGTAACAGGCGTAAGTAAGTAAGTAACTGCAGAATTAGCAAAGTGTTAGTTCCTTTGAATTTGTATCTATATTGTGTAGAATTGATTTTGGGTACGAACATATACGGCTCTTACTGCACATGCCCTCTGGAGATTTGCTTAAAAGTAATTCATTTAGGCTTTTACTAGCATCTACTATACAGTTTACATCAATATAGTCATGAAAAATTCACGCAAACGACCTGGATGCCGTTTTGCTGTTACATCTGGTATGCAGTGCGACAACTACAAAGGTTGGTTCCATGAAGCGTGCTCAGATCTCACAGCAACTGCTTACAACAGACTCAGCTGGTCGAATCATAAGTGGGTATGTGTTTCGTGCAATACGGATTCTGTTGTTTTGCTGAGTAACATCATTGTCCTACTGACAGGTCTGCAGAATAAGTTGTCAGCAAACTTAGAAAAAGATAGTCACAAAACGGGTAGACAAACAAGGGCGCGCAACGAAAACGGACATATGGATGTCGGTAGGTCTATTATGGATGGAACACGCATTAGCACTAGTGATGACATGCTGAAACTCAGCACCATCGTTACTTCGAGGTTAATAGACTCCCTTAGCAAACACGGGTCTGCCAGCTCAGGGGCCTTGAATGCAACAGTGGTTCCCAAAAACTTTGTAGGTGATTGGACCCACGTTAACAGAGCTAAAAAGGACCAGACGTCACCGTCTAAGCTGAACATCCCAAGTGTTCTACAGAAACCAAATGGTGATTTGGTCTCACGGTCTACCCACAAGAATGTCCGTTCGGTCAGCAAAGATCCTAAGATTCAGAAACGTGCTTTGACCTCCAAACAACAAGGTTCTGAACCTGAACGCACCGGAAATCCTGGGAAAACAGTAACGGTTCGTGACGGCTCTCTCATAATCATGAACCTCATAGACAACCCTGACCTTCCTCTTAGTTTGCAGGACGAAAATGACAGGATGCTCTGGGGTGAATTGAACAAGAAGCTTGAACTTCCTAGAATGGAGCTTTTGAAGGTCAGACGGCTCACTCGGGGAAAGGAATCTAAGATAATCGTGCAAGGTGTACCGGAAAACACGGATCCTATTCAAGGAAACTCTGATATTAGGGAATGGAAATTCATCAAGCAGTCCTTGAGGCTCAAAAACATACTGACTCAACATGTGACGAGACTGGCCAAGAACGGCGATGATTCTAGACCCCGACTAATGAGGACTACTTTCCCATCCTCCCATATGGCGGCTACAACTCTGGGAGCATTACGTGCCAACAGACGTTGGTTGCCAACTGGAATTTATATACACCCGCATAGGCCACATGACGCCACGACCAAGCACAAAGGCAAGTTGGAGCTGACCATTCCACTTGCGGACTGTCTTGTTCATAAAAACACGTGTCAAGAACAGGGCCTACTAAATCGGCAAGTCTTGTATAGGTAGGCTACCTGTTTTTTCAGGTAAGGCTCATACAGACGAACAGACAGGAGAAGCTCATGCATTTTAAATTGAAAGCATAAACTGCTTATACATGGAGGCCGCGAGTCTTCCAAATAAAATGGATGAGCTACATGAGCTTAGCAATGTTATTAAAGCTCATCTGAAACTTGGATATCTTCTCAGTTTGCGGACCAGGAGCTAGCAATACCTGGGATGTCTTTGTTTCGTAATGACAGAAAAACGAAAATTGGGTGTGGAGTGGATTTATACATACGATCCGGCCTGGAAGTACACCAAGTTCACAACCATGAGTTTAACATTGTTGATTAACCCATATGGTGTTCAGTACGATTGTCTACCATTACGAGGAACCTAGTAGCTGTCATCTACAGGAAGCCCACTGCTGCTGGGAGGACTATCCCGCTCTACGCGCCACGCACTCACTCATATCCTGATTCTAGGGGACTTCAATCTTCCTAGAGTCAATTTCGCGTAACATGCGTATATTGGGAAGAAACTTCAATTGAATCTCAGTTCTTCAACCTCATTGAGGATCTGGGATTATACGAAAATGTAAAGTCGGCAACCCGTTGGGGAAACAGTCAGATACCGTCGCGCTTAGACTGAGTATTTACAAACCAAGAATTTCTAGTTGACAACCTCTCAGTCCTGGCTCCTCTGAGGCAAAGCGATTACTCCGTTACAGCCTTCAGTTTTGTCAGCGAAACTGAGCTAAGATATCCCATTAACAACAGGCGCTGGAATTTCAAACGGTTAAATATGTCAGCTCTACTGATAACAACGGTGCATACACGCAATACAAATATATAAAGAGCGTATGCACAGAGGCAGTAAGAGAAAACAGGCTTCAGTACCAGATAAAGCTTGTCGATAAATTTGTCTCCAATCCGAAGCAAACTACCGGAAATTTGGAAGCTGGCTCACATCACACCGATTT